TGGTGTCTGAGGTTATTCGCGAGGCGGACGGGTCCTCGATCAGCAGCCACTAGCAAAGGCGTTTGAAACACAGGGCCGAGAAGTTCCATTCGCAGTCCTACAGGCCTTCGCCGTCCATCCGTGTGGCAGTATACCCAGTTGCCTATCTTGGATCATTTCACTGGACCCACCCAACTAAGCAAAAGCCTGTCTCGAGACTCGACACTTGAGACGATTTAAGGCAAGCAACTCAGACGAACTTCCTCCGAAGCTCTGCAAGAGCGGCGGCGTAGCAATCACTAGCCAACTGACCTTGTTGTTCGCAAAAATTTGATACGAGAAAGTACCTTTTTCTTGGTGTGTTACTGGCACAATTTGCAAGAAAGGCGCTCAGAATTCCGGTGTCAATCATTGAGGGATTGCCCTCATTTCGGTTGCCTCCGCAGACAATCCCCAACACTTGGCTTTAAGTTTGCCATCAAAGACGTCCTGTTGAGAGCTCTAAAAGGTCTCCAAAGTTGTGAACAAGAGCTTCTACCGAGTGAGCGCGTGACCGACTTAGATTACGCTGATATCGCTTTACTTGATGACAATCCACAGAGTATGCAGCTCATTCTGAACCATCTAAGTATGGGATGAATCTGCGATTTTGGCAATGTACATATTCCTCAACACCCTGTCACGGAATTGTTAAGCATGTCGATCTACCACCAGTTTGGGAAGCAACTAGCGTCCTGCTTAAGTGCTTAGAAAAACTCAGAGTAAACCGGAATTGTAAACACTCGACTGAACACAATATGATTAGAACATGGCTTTCTTAAGCAACAGTGTCTCACTGTTTCTCAGATAAGATCACTCGATGTCCTGATAAGGGGAGGTCGATAGATGTGTGTTACCTCGACTCCGTGAATAGTCGTTTCATACTTGAGTTAACATGGCGTGGATTGCATTTCGAACTGTTATCCTGAATTTCTCTGTGGGAAAACATTTACGATGGGAATCGGCAAATCGAGTTCTCGTATGGACTTTGCGTACAGCGATATCCTTAGGGTTCGGTACTGGGTCCAGTATTGTTGTTCATGTTTACAAACGACCTGGCTCCTCTTATTGATGGGCTCTGCTACATTTTTGTGGATATGATAAAGCTAGCCAGCACGGACAAGCGAACAACACTGACCAAAGATACCATCAACATGGTGAAGTTGTCCAACTAATGGTAATTTGTCCCTGATTTTCAATAAATGTCGGTTATTGGCCAATAGTGGCGACGGGATTGTAGTGTAGGCATCTTCGGCGTCTTTTCCTAGCAGAATAATAACCAGGTATGTGATTCAGGCGTTACCACAGCGAGCAGTTTCAAGCCATCGGCGCAGTATCAGCATGCTGTCAAAAAGCGCGACAAGAGCTGTTTCGCATCGAGGGCACCGCGTAACACCAAATCAGAAGTTTTACAGCTATTGTATAGGGCCCTGGTTAGGCCATATCTGTAGTACTGCGTTGAAACTTGGGTGCCGCATCTTTGTAGTTACGTTAGCTGCATACGAAAGACACAAAAACTTGTAACTGGAATACCTGAAGAAAAGAAGGCATAAGCAGTACGCCGGTACGCAGTATCGACGCTTCGCTGCTACTCAACCACCACCGATCCCACTTGGGCTAAGGATATTGCGAGGATCGAAAACGAGCCCTCGGATTACATGGCAGGCTTGTGATCCTTATGGCTATGGACCAGCAGGATACCTAAAGGTTAAGATGGGAAATCGCATGAAGATTTTTGAGGGAGCTTAGGATTGTATTTCCTAGAACGATGATTTAATAGACGTTATTTATAGGCCTGGGGCATCAAGCTGCTGATCTGGTTGAGCAAGATGCGTCGGACCGCTTGTGTGAAACGAAGCTCCTGGATTCTACGAGATTTCCTCCATGGTTGCTAAAAGATGGAACTGACTTGCTAACTGGACTGACAAGTCTAGATAACCGTGTCGTAAGTTGTAAAGACTTTAGCACCAAACGAGTGGACGTTCTTAGTACGATATTGCGTCGAGTGCAGTATCTTTTCCATCGCAACGAGATTGAACCTTAACGTGGTGCGATGGCTTGTGTAGCTCGGTGACCCATTGAGCTACGCTAGGCGGCACTTTCCAAGCGCCTTCAGTCACTCATACCAAACAAGTTAATGGTTAGAGATCAGACTAACTAAGTCTCCCAATCCCATCATCTTTGGAGGTTAGGGAGAGGTCGATGGATGTCTTCCTCTAAAACCTACCATGGGGGATAACAGGTCTAGGGGTTTTGAGCTCACAGTTCGATTGGCACACAGCACGAGCGCCACGCGTTGTCTCTGACGGTGGGACGGCACTTCTGGTTCACAAGGATTTGATACCGTCCGCCTCAAACCGGGCAGCGCCTAGTCAAAAGGGTGCAATTTGCGTCTAACTGACGCTCGAAACCTTTAACCGTAGGTTCACTGACTACACTTTCTGGAAGCGATTTCCAGCGCTCGATAACTACGCGAGAACCGACTTTCCGCCCTGATCCCGTCAGAACGCGGCTTGCGTAGCTTTATGGGATGACCGCGAAGACAAGGTAACCTAGCCGGGCTAAATAGCCAGCTCAAGTCCGGCCCAACCTTCAATGTTAAAGTGCGGTAAGTAAGGATTAGGTCTCCTCGAAGCCGTCGGTAATGCATTGAATACATACCCAAACTAAGTAGACGCTCGGAGTACGATTGCCCCCGTAATCCTTCGACCAATTTGGTACATACTCTCAAAACCCTCTCGAGCTCCATTTTGTCCCGAACAAGGTAGGGCGGGCAAGCCTGGACGCATTATTCCAGATGGGGCAGAACGAAAGCTGAGAACAGCTTCACAAATATGTCGGCAGTTAAGACCCCGAAAAAACGGCGTATTAACCACAACATTCTGAAACCCCTACTTGCGGCCTTCTTCCAGTTGTCACCAGAATGGAAAGACGAGGAATGGACGACGCCTAGGTCTACTGGTTGGAGACAAGGGGGAGTTGGACACCACCGAGTACGCAGCTCGAAGGCAGGAAAGTTGCTCCTATACGAAGGACGGAACACTTAGCCTGATTTAAGGGCAGTAGCCACAAAGTAGACCAGTCCCAGAGTCTGTTCAAGGCATGCTGTATGGCCTCAGAACCCCCAGGAACATTTACAACATTCCATAGCTTAAGGTCATCAGCAAACAATAGGGATGATACCCCAAGCTCTCCAGGGAAATCGTTTACGTAGATGGAGAACAGCATCGGTCCAAGGACCGAGCCCTGTGAGACACCGCTAAGGACCGCTTGCCTAAAGGATAAGCTGCGACCCACACGTACACACTGCCCTTCCCTGCAAGGACGCAGATACCCAGTGAAGGACGCGGCCAGATACGCCGTAGGAGCTCAGCATTTGTGATAGTCTCAAGTGGGGTACCTTATCAAATGCTTTCGAGAAGTCTATGAAAGGCACATCCACTACGTGGCCATTGTTCATTGCCTCGGACCAAGCTTCACGAGCAAACAGCAAATTCGTCAGACATGAAAACCCCTTCCAAAATTCGTGTTGAGCACGACTGAGTAGATTAAATGTATTCAGGCGACCTTCCAACGAATCGCTCACCAGCTTTTCAAGCAGTCTGACCACGACGCTAGTCAGACTGACTGGCCTATAATTGGCTGACAGACTCCTGTCGCCATTTATGAAGATAGGACAGATGACAGTTTCCTTCCATTCAGAAGGTAATGTACAGCTGTCAAGTGACTTCTGAAACACTATCGTCAGCGGTACACCTAGTTCCACCGCCAACTCATGCAGAAGCTTCGGGTGAATTGAATTAGGTCCAACTGCTTTGGAAGGGTTCAGTTCTTGCAACAGTTTAAGGACTTGCGTTTCCACCGAAGTAAACTCAGCTAAATAAGAACCCTCAGGTACTCTGAAGACAATTTTAACGCTAGTCAACGCGCCCTCAGGTACAAAAGCCCCTGCATACTGCTGCCCAAGCACACGAATCTTATCTGAGTCAGCATACGCACCAGTTCCATCGGCCCGCATCAAAGTTGGAATTATCGAATTTGTATTAAAGCGTCTCTTAATATAAGCGAAGAATTTGGATTTTTCAAAGCTCCATCAGTCAGCTGCTTTTCGTACAGCAGCCGAGCTTTCCTTAAGTGCTGTTTACACCTATTTCTAGCCTCGCGGTATCTATCATAGGTGCTAGTTGATGGAGCCGCACGGCAGGTCCTCCAGCACCTAGAACGCTTCTGGAGCAGGTACTTGCCAGTGGTATCTATCCACGGCGGCCGTGATCGTGTCTCCTTTCTCCTCGCAAGCGGGATGTAGGGAGTAGACACTCCCGTGAGATAAGACTTAAATTTATCCCAGGCCGCCTGAACCGTATCAACCACCGAGATTTCGCAACGCAATCCAGAAGACTTGATACGCATTGTCTGATAGTTAGCACGCCATGTTTGGAAATGGCTTAGCGATGCTCTGGTGACAACTGGTCAGAGTACACCTGAAGGATAATCACTAGCACCTAAGGGAGAGCTGTAAGTGATGTCACCTACGAAGTCTAGTGACTTAGCAAACACTAGATCCAAAATCCCGCGCCGCAAGGTTAAGAGATATCCTATTTACCTCCAGGCTACGGGTCCCTCCGTAGGTACGTCTTGTGGAGACCACAGTAAAAGGTAAATCCTGAACCGGATGCCGCCAATCATGTATTTGTATAGGCAGGTATATATATACCTGCCTATATATATATGTATATATATATACATACATGTATATATATATACATATATATATGTATATATATATATATATGATGGCTGCAGTCACTTTCGCATCTTCGGTTAAGGTGTAATGATGATGTCAAAGTTTGATTACCTCTAAGTTCCTAGTAATATATAATGAAGCCATTGTATGAAAACTGATGGTCCGATTGCGCGCTGAAGCAATAACAGGAGTGTGGTTGACTAGCGATGAAAGAACAAAAAGATAGACGACAGGAAACTTACATCTGTACCATCTCCTTGAACTTCCCTTGTTCATACTCCTTAAGCTTGTTGTAATCATCAACACTGCTAACGTAGAGGTTATGCTTCGTTTTTGGTTTCGGTGGTTCGAACGGACAGGTAAGGATCGCCAAGCGTGCGTTCTCAACTGCCCTCGGCATTTGGGGATGCGAGAAGTCCTTATCGATAATAACTCCTTTCACAATGAGTGAGTCTTCTAGCCTGCCTCCAACCTTGCCTTCGACTTTGATTAGTTCGAAGTCGACATCTTGTCTCTCAAAATCAGCCACAGTTAGGACGGCTTCAACAGCTATTTCGGCGAACTGACGTTGACAGCGATTGACACTAGATAATGAGAGTGAACAACGGGGAGCTTACATTTTTGACCCCAATGCCGTCATTGCAGTTTTGATCAAAGGCTCTCTATTCAAGGGAGAAAAATCGAAGTGGTCACTGATTTCATCTAGGATAGCTAAACACCGTTTAGCAGCGAGTTCGTATCCATCCGCGATCCTGATAGGGTGGATACCACGGTCTAGCAGTTGTTCTGCCTGATCCAAAAGCGCACCGGCGAGGACAACAACGCCGGTTGTTCCATCTCCAACTTCATCATCTTGGGACCGACTCAGCTGGACTAAAAGTTTAGCGATCTCGTGCTCTACGTCCATTTTATCCAAGATCGTTCTCCCATCGTTAGTGACCGTTATATCCCCGTCGGGGCTAACAAGGAGCTTGTCCAATCCTTTCGGACCCAAGGATGTTCTCAGGGTATTAGCCACAGACTTAGCAGCCAAAATGTGTGACTAAATTTGTGAGATTAACAGACAATTCAGTACCTTGTGAGCGGCCAGACCAGTAAGCCGTTTCTTCTTTTCTTGATCCTTAAATATGATAAAAGGTCTACCGAACTCATCGAACGCCAACTGCCCAACACGCCCGGATTGCATTGCCATGTGCATCTGATGTAGAACTCGGAAGCGATTAAAAAACAAAGCAAAAATATCCTGGGATGCAAAGCGAGGAACTAGTAGGCCAGCAAACAAAGTTTGGTATGGCGAATTGTTTCACTTCAAACCACTTTATAAGAGGCGTCAATTAAATGTAAGTAGTTATTTAGGCACCTATATGAGTTACAGTAAGCTTATGCCTGAAATATAATCATCATAGTCTTTCTTTTAGGTTCGCTGAGCAATTTGCCATTGTTTGATTTGTACCTCAAGGTCAAAGAAATATATGTGGGTTACACAGTGCCCAACTGACTGGATCAAAAGCAAGTTCGAGTGCAAATTCAAGTGGGACTGGAACGATAGGATTGTCTCTTGTGTGTTCCTTCTTCGGCGGTTCTTTGACCCAGGATTTGGAAGACTTTAAAATATTGATGGACCTAAAACAACGACCGCATCAGACCCTGTGCAACAATTAGGGATCACCTATCCTGCGCTAGCAGTCCCTGCTGGGCCGTACGTGAAGTAAGAAAAAGAAAATAGTTATCTCAGAAGGCGAGAAGAGGGAGGAGAAGGAGCTAAGCAAGTAAAATGCCAAGATATTTGTGTCATTAAAAAAGCTGGAAGGTGATGATATGCCAGCTAGGAAACAGGAAAGGTTTCGTGTTGTCACCCAAGAGCATTGAGCTGGCGCCCAAAACCCTTAAACGTAGGTTCCCTAACCACCTGATCTGGAGGCGCATTCAAGTGATCTATAGCTGGGCGCGACAAATGCGTTCACGTCCCAACCTTATCAGACTGTGTTTTATGTACTTTCAGTGGGTGACCACGCAGAGTAGGTAACGTAGCGGTGCGTAAAAGCAGCCAAACAGGGGAATCTCCAGGTCACTACACAGCCGCCCTCTTAGAAGGTAACCGTAGGTGACCCTTCGATCTACGTGAGGACTGTCCGTCGCCGGCCAGCCTTCTGCGAGACCAGGCGGTGAAACCTGATGCAGCTGCTGGGGGAGAACCAATGCGATCGGACGCTAAGGGGCTCCCACCCGTGTCCTCCCTACAGGTGCCAAAAACACAAAATGGGGGAAATGTTCGTAGCTTTCGAGTGCGTAGTGTCACAGCACATGATGTTTGAGCACGTAGTGTCCGAAAACGTAACGTTCGATTGTCGTTGAACGTCCGCGTGTCGGGGATATGAAAAAGAAGCGGAAACGCGGAGTGTCAAACAGGTGCGAGCGACAGAGCTAACAAAAGGCGATAGCACTTACCGAGTGCGATAAGCGAATAAAGCGAGAACCATTTTGTGTTTTCAAAACGATTTTCTCCTTTTTTAGGTTTTCAAAACGTTTTGCGATTTTTGGGTTTTCAAAACGCTTTGCAAATTATTTTAGGTTTTCAAAACGTTTTTGTTGGGCGGGTTAGGCCACAACCAAAAAGGAAGCGGGAAAGGAAGAATGAAAAGAAGACTAATCTTTTAATCGCGCTGGCCAATGAACCCGCCTACCTGACCTAGTCGATTTCGGACGTTCGGTCGGAGGCGTTGTCGATCCAGCAGTTTTGTCGGATGAGGAAGCTTTCGGCTCGATAGAATCGGAAGGAACTGAGTCGGAAGGGTTAGTCGGAGAATGCTTCGTAGCATCGGAAGTAGGCGTGTCGTCGATCATAGGCTGCGTTGACTCGTCCGAAGGTGGACGGGAGTCATCGTCGATCTCAGGTTCCACATGGGCAACCTTGAGACGGTCGATAGAGACAGTTTCACGTTTACCGTGGCGGTCGATAACGAATACGCGGTCCTTACGTTTAAGAACCTTAAATGGACCTTCGTAGGGTCGTTCGAGTGGTCTGCGTAGACCATCGACTCGAAGGAAAACGTAAGCGCAATGCAGTAGATCTTGTGGAACGAACGATTTACGTCGTTGTTCTCGCACGTCGGTTACTTTGATATGGCGCATGCTCGTGGCTAACTGCCGAGCGTAATTCGCGTCGTAGCGGGGTGTTCTGGGGTTTTCAGAAAAGAAGTCCCCAGGTAGTCGAAGAGGTTGTCCATATACCAGTTCGGCGCTGGACGTGTGCAAATCAGCTTTAAGAGCTGATCGGATACCAAGTAGTATCATAGGCAGTGCTTCGGTCCAGCTTAGTGCATTAGCGGCACTAAGTGAGGCCTTCAGCTGTCGGTGGAAACGTTCCACCATGCCGTTGGATTGCGGGTGATAGGCGGTAGTCCGGATGCGTTGACATCCGAGGACTTTGAGAAGATCGTTGAAGTCGAGGATTCGAACTGCGGACCGCGGTCGGTAGTCACGGTGGCTGGACAGCCATGTGAAGCGACCCAGCGCTCAACGAAAGCGCGCGTTACGGTGTCCGCGGATACGTCGGGTATAGGTACGGCCTCGGGCCAACGGGTGTATCGGTCGATCATGGTCAGAATGTAGACCATTCCTCTGGATGGTGCCAAGGGTCCAACTATGTCGAGATGGACATGGGCGAAGCGAGCTGAGACTTGCGGAAAACGACCAAGCGGGGCGGACACGTGCCGCTGTATCTTGGCCTGCTGACACGTAGGACAACCGGGTGCCCAGCGCTTACGATCGCGTTGCATTTCTAGCCAAACGTATCTCTCGGATTTGAGCTTGATCGTGGCTCGGATGCCTGGATGAACGATGTTATGAAGTGTGGCGAAAAACTAGACGTCGAAAGGTTTCTGGGACGACGGGTCGATGTCGTCCAGTAGAAGTATCGCACAAGATTGTGCCATCAGATGACGGCAGTGGATGCGGTGTGATTCGTAGCGAAGAATCTTGTTTGACGTTCTGACAGTCAGTGTCGTTTAGTTGCGCGGTAGCCATGGCAGATAAGTCGATTGCCTGGCCAGCGGTGTGGATTGCGGAGACGCGCGAAAGAGCGTCAGCAACGACGTTATTCTGACCTGAAATGTGTCGGAGGTCAGTAGAAAATTGAGCCACGAAATCCAGCTGACGAACCTCACGTGGTGAGTGTCGAGCTGATTGATTTCGAAAGGCGTAAATAAGCGGCTTATGATCGGTGAAGATAACGAACGAATTACCTTCTAAGACGTGCCTGAAATGTCGAACGGTAGAATAAACTGCCAGCAGTTCGCGGCTGAACGTGCTGTACTTGGCTTCTGCCGGTTGTAAGCGTCGGGAGTAGAAAGCGAGTGGCTTCCAGCATCCCTCAGTGAATTGCTGCAGGACGGCGCCAATGGCGGTGTCCGATGCATCGACTGCAACACTGAGTGGAGCTTTCGGGTCGAAATGGTGAAGCATAACGACTTCAGCCAAGGCTTCTTTGCAGGCCTTGAAGGCTTCGGTTGCAGCGGTCGTCAACTCGACGCTGCCGTTCTTGCGTCCACGAAGTAAGTCGGTCAGTGGACTGAGCAAGTCGGCACAACGTGGCAGAAATCGACGGTAATAGTTGATCATCCCACTAAAACGGCGGATGGCGGCCAAAGTAGTCGGAACGGGAAAGTCCTTAATAGCACTGACTCGGTCTTCGAGCGGCCGTATGCCATGCTGGTCAATTCGATGACCAAGAAATTCGATAGATGGTTGCTGAAAGATGCATTGGTCAGCGTTGACAGTAATGCTAGTAGAGGCTAACCTCTTGAAAACTAACTTGAGGTGCTCCGCGTGCTGTTCTTTGGAAGAACTAGCTACTAAGATGTCGTCTATATAAGGATAAACAAAGTCCTGACCTCTCGTGACAGAGTCTATGAAGCGTTGAAAAGTCTGAGCTGCGTTGCGAAGACCGAAGGGCATTCGCAAGAATTCGAAAAGTCCGAAAAGCGTGATGACTGCGGTTTTCGGAATGTCATCCTCGGCTACGGGGTTCTGGTGGTAAGCGCGAGCAAGATCGATCTTCGAGAACACACGGGCGCCACGTAGGCTAGCCGTTATGTCCTGAATGTGCGGAATCAAATAGCGGTCGGGGACGGTAGCGTTATTGAGAGCGCGATAGTCGCCCCCCCCCCCCCCCCCCCCCCCCCCCCCCCCCCCCCCTGGACGCTAGTCTCCTGACCTTTTAGGCACCATGTGTAGAGGCGACGCTCACGGGCTCTTAGACAGGCGAATAATGCCTAAGTCTAGCATGTGCTCGAATTCGGAGCGTGAAATTTTGAGCTTGTCGGGGGTCATGCGCCTGGCTTTTGCGAACACAGGCGGACCTTTCGTAACGATTTGATGTGTCGCGGCGTCGGTTGCGGAAGGCAACGGGACGGCAGGACGGAAGGCCTGCGGAAAACTATCGAGCAGCGTTTGCCCGACGGGTGAAATAAGTTGAGTCGCGTACACGGGACTGATTGACGCGGTGTCGGTCAAAGTCCCAATGACTGCGAGATTTGTACGGCAGTCGACTAGACGGTGTCGCTTAACGTCGACGAGTAGGTCGTAATGACGTAGGAAGTCGAGACCAAGGATAGGCGTTTGAACATCGGCAACGAGGAATATCCATTTGAAAGCGCGTCGGAGGCTGAGATTTAGCGTGCGCGAGCGTTGACCATATACGCGGATAATGGTTCCGTTAGCTGCGCGCAATGAGCTAGTCACCTTTTCGGTCGGGTCATTTGGATCACGCGGGAGAACGCTGACTTCTGCGCCAGTATCGACGAGATAGCGAACTCCGGTTCTACGATCGGGGACGAAGAAAAGGCGACTGCGTTGACCAGCTACGTCCGTCGCCCCTACGTGCTGGCCTGCCCGTTTCCCTGCTGTTGTCGTTTGAAGGAACAGGGCGGGCGACACGATTTAGCTTGCAGGCCGAAGCGTTCGTGGTACCAGCAGTAACCGTTTCTATTCGGTGATCGCGAAGGAGACTTCGAACGTGAACGCGAACGGCTCCTAGAGCATTTACAGCGGTTATGTCTGGAGGCCGAAAAGTCTGCGAATTGTCGGGTCAGTGTTGCCATCTGGGATTTAAGCGTGGCGATATCGTCGTTCGGTTTCGTGTGGACCTGCGAAACCTGGCCGTACGACTCCCAAATTCGTTCGGCTGTATCGGCCAGTTTGGATAAAGGTGCATCCTGACTAGCGCAGAGGATGTGTAGCATCTCGCGCGGAAGTCGTTGCAACCACATTTCCCGAAGAAAAGAATCATCTATCGAAGTGGGTCTAGCTAGGCTCTGCATTTTCCGAAGCAGCTGAGAAGGCTTAAGATCGCCAAGATCGGTTTCGTTGAGGAGTTTCGTAACTCGTTGATTCCAATTTCACCAAGAAGACTTACTCTCCATGTGATACACTGCGTTACATCTGACCTGTCTCTTGCTCTCTGACGGCTCACAGGCCGCAGTGACTTAAAAGCTGCAGGCTCGGCCGGTGTCCATTCTAGTATTCTCACCTGGGTATCCGGTACATTTTCACAGAAAAGCCTAAAGTCCTTTACATCATAGGCTCAAACATGTAATCGGGTGTATCAAACAAATGAGCCAACCAGTTTCACACTAAGTTTAACGATTTATTATTCATGTCGTTATTTCAAGTACTCCATTATCCTAAGGAGAACGCGAAGTAGTATTAGCTCCAATTTCTACCTCTACAGGTACACACATGTAGGGAATAGGTTGTCTCTCACTATAAGGGCATCTATGAATACAAACGGGTTCCGCTTCTATATAAGCAGATACCTCTCTGTCACACAAGTTTCCAAGCTACTGTATATTAACTGTCCGGAAGATGAGAGTTTGTAAACGGACCAGACCACTTACAATCGCATTTTCTTACGTTCGCACACTATCTCCTTCCAGACTCTGCATATTACTATCTGCCTGCTTCTTTTAACAGCCCCTGTTGTCCTCCAGCACATAGGTATCAGCTACCGGATAATGAATGCTGCTGTCTTCCCTCCAATCTCCTACCTATGGCTAGCTCGCGGCATCAACCTCTAGCTAATCGCATCGCAATAACTAGGTACCACCTAGATGGTGAAGCCGGCATGCTCTCAACCCTCCAAATTTCCATTTTCACCCTTGCCTCTAGACCATCTCTGCTTTATACTAAAGGGCTTCCACTAGTCTTGTGAAGCAGCCTCACTCACAACCATCCCACTTTCTATCCTTCTAATTCCTTCCTCTTATACTTGAAGCATCTGTCACATTCTCATTCTTACCTACTTATCAATTCTTTATATCATTGCATACTGCTTTTAACCTCCATGTTTCACCACAGTATGGCTGCAAAGCCTTGAATGTTTGTGCCTGTCACTTCCCAGTTCCATCTGTTTAACCGTAGCACGACTGAGATACTTCGAAGAACCATCTAGCCTGTGGCTCACACCCATTTCCTTTTAGCAGACTAACTGTTATTAATATAGCCAACCCTGTCGTGTGTGAATCCCGAGTGCCCACTCGTAACCCATCTCAAATCCCTTTGTCTCGGACAAGACATGGTGGACAAGCCTGGATACAATATTCCAGGTGGGGTCGGACGATTGTATAGAAAAGCAGCGCAAAGCAACTGGCCATTAGGCTTCCGAAAGAGCGGCTGATAACTTACATCATACGAAACCCCGACAAGCAGCTTTCTTCCAATTGTCGCCAGCATGAACTGTTGATAATTATAGACCCCTAAACCAACCTGCTGAGTGACAACAGGGATTCCCTTACTGCCACCAACGTACTGGGTGGAAGGACTAGCAGTTCCGTTTCGGTGAAAAGAGCACTTGGCCCTATTCATGTGCATCAATCACAAGCTAGACCATTCCCAGTGCCTATCCATGGCCCCCTGAAGTGACTCAGGAACCCCTAGATATCCACCATATTCCAGTGCCTAAGGCGGTCAGCAAACATAAAGGATGAAACTCCCAGCGCCCTGACAATTCATTTACATAGTTCGCGTTCACTAAGGCCTCAAACCCCGAGCTCTGTGGGACGTCACTAAGGACAGCTTGCCTGAGTGAAAGGCTACACCCATCCGTACGGATGTTCTTTGCACTCAAGAAAAGCGGAAACCCATTACAGCGCGCTACCAGGTATACTGTAAGACCCCAACTTAGTGAAGTCTAAGATGAGGAACAGTGTCAAAAGCGTTCGAAAAGTCCACGAATAGCATGTCTACCCCGTGGCCACAGTCTGCCGTTTCGGCCCAGCTTTCACGAGCTACAAGTG